TTGCCTGCTTTATCCAACAATAAATGAAGTGGGGTGGGCCATTGCTTCTTTAACTGAATCATACAAGATATTCCAGGAGAAGGGATTGAACTGACATAGAGTTTTTGTTTTCTCATTACATGAATGCGAAAAAAGGGAACAACTGAAATTCCACCACCCCAAAAAAAGAATGTGAAAGATTTTTTTTTTTGGGGGGGGGGGGGATGGGGGGCAAAAGAGACGAGCAAAACAAACCAATAGATACCTGGACTTGTATCATGTATTTAATGTCCTTTCCTGGATAAGCAGTGAACTAAAGATTCGAGATTTTTTTTAATGGAAAATTTCAAGTGGCTGTGTGGGTCTAAATTTGAGCTGAATGCAGGGGACCTGAAGAACAGGAGTAGACCTAACTGTACGTCAGGGTTCAGAGATAAGGAATGTCCCTTTGATGTACGTTGACCATGTTTGCTTTATTTTAAACAATTATTAGCCTAAAATGACATGTTCTTTGTCTGAATTTTCATGCCATTATCTTTGCGTTGGCTTTTTCTTTTAAATACCGCATCATGGATTTTGCTTGATCAAAATATGTACGAATTAGTGCTCTCCATTGGTATAAGTTGCATATAGTATCAGATTTTTCAAAAAATTGGTCTTCATGTCTGAAGTTCCTTTTGACTTTCTTTTTGGAGGAAAAGGGGCACGAAGGACATGATTTACTACTTGAAGAGATTGATTGGATATATGTTTATTGGCATGCTTTCGATTCACATGCTTGACACTTTACGAAGTCCTATTTTAAACTTTTACTCATTGAAAAAAATTACTGCTGCTTTTCAGACGCGAGAGAGTTTCACTGAATCTGTGAAGTCAAAAATTTGCAAGACTCCTGGTATGGGGAAGGACGGCGCTCGGGTTGGATATATCAAATTAACATCTTTCAACCAAAATGCATCTGGTATAATTTAGCTTATTTGACATCAGATTTTGAAAATTATTGAGTTCATATAATCTTTTCTTCTGCTTGAGAAGCAATCTTTATTGTCTTGACTTCTACTTGGTAATAATTCACTTTTACAAATCTTCCCTAACATCCTTCGAGCCTTTGGTTATTGTTCAATATGAAAATCCTTTTAATATCTGTTCAATCTATGAAGAATCCTTTTAATATCTGAACTTTGTCATTCTGCTATTTTGAACCATTTTCAATGTTGTTACTTTACTAACAATCTGCTCTAAATGTTTTGGTTCCCTTCTGAAACATCTTCTGTTCCCTCACATACTGGAACGTGGTTTTGGTACCTATAGCTATATGTAACTTGGGAAATATTGTGTCCTTCTGAATTCATTACTACTTTGTCTGGCCTTTGAAATATGGTCTTCAATTTTGCCTCAGAGGCAAACAGCATACTAATAAAAGTTTCTTATTGAAAATAAACTCTTGTTCTTTGATGATGCAGCTATGCCTCACTAAGGGCAGAGGGCATGGTAAATTCCTTTGTCTTTGTCGTCATTGTGCTATATAGTGATCTATTTAGATAATATATCTCTTTAATCCTTCGTCTGCCAAATATCCATTTTAGGTGCAGTAAAAGAAGCAATTGAAACTCTGAGAAAGGACAATGTCAGTGCCTTTGTATTAGATCTCCGAGATAATAGGTGACATGCTTTTGATGTGCTTCATCGTAGATTTATTCCATTGTTTTGCTTTTGATGTGCTTCATCTTATAGTTATTCCACTGTTTTGCTTTCTAAAAAACTAAAATTTTGGTGCAGTGGTGGTCTTTTCCCAGAAGGAATTGAGATTGCCAAGATTTGGTGAGTTTCTTACTGCATACTTGCACACAACATTATTTCAGTTGTTTTTTTTATATTTTATGCTTCTTGCTGTTAAGTACTTCATAGCGTCTTTCAACAGTAGACTAAGTTAACATTAGATGTTTAACTAGGTATGAAATCCTTGAAGTGTTGTAGCTTTCTTAACCCCTGTCATGAGTATTTGGTAGATGTTTTAACATTATTTCAGTTCTTTTTGTTTATATTTTACGCTTCTTACTGTTAATACTTCATAGCATCTTTGAACAGCAAACTGTTAATGTTAGATGTTTTAACTAGTATGAAATCTTTGAAGTTTGTAGCTTTCTTAAACCCCTTGTCATGAGTATCTTTTGGAAGGAATGCATGCTTATCAACTTGTTCATTCGTCCTTGCATGTATCAGGAACTGATTTTTTAACAAGTTGATTATTTTGCTTGGAAAAAAATCTTCAAAATCACCTTACTCCCTCTGCTTCCTGTTCCTAACCAGGCTGGACAAAGGAGTGATTGTGTACATCTGTGATAGTCGTGGTGTTCGAGATATATATGATACAGATGGAAGCAATGCAGTAGCAGCTTCAGAGCCTCTAGTAGTGCTGGTACGCTGAGCAGTTTCTCAACACTCAATTTTAAGCTCGGCAATTTGATTGAATATTTCCGTTCACTATACAATCAGCTACTAAATTGTATGAAAAAGATCCCTATGCTATTTACTGTGTTTAGCTGATAGAGTTGGTTTGCTCGAGACTCATAACTTCAAGGATCTAGATTCCAAGTCCTGATACCTTAACTTGCTCGATGATATCCTACAACTGATATAAACGTATAAATATAAACATATAAATCAGTTTTCTGTTTGTGTTTATACTTGAAAAAATGGAAAGTTGGGCATTAGAGTTTCTATGTTACTGTTGGGCTGGATATGATTTTGGGTGGGATGTAAAGCTTATAATTTAGCATTGTTATGACTTGTGGTAACCAAAAGTTTCTCAAAGAGTTGCAATCCATCATTCGAAGTTAATAAAGATCGAGAGCGGATTTCAGATTACAATTAGATATGATGTTTTTATTCATCCCTGAAAAGGAAGTCAGTCAAAATCTTTGATGGAATTTATCGCTCAACACTTCATCCATCTCAAATGTTGTGGCAGTTGATCTGACATAGTGTTTTGAAAACCCATTATGTTCAAACCCAGGGATCCTGCTGTTTGAATTACAAAATTTAGTTGCCAATTATCAGAACAAAATATTAGTATCTGTTCCTTTTCTTCTCATTTTCTTTCCCATGCTACTTGAAGGTGAATAAAGGAACTGCCAGTGCAAGTGAAATTCTGGCTGGTGCTTTGAAGGATAATAAGCGAGCTACGCTTTTTGGAGAACAAACTTTTGGAAAAGGGTGGGCTGCACATACTTTTTACTCACATGTTGGTACTTCTATCAAAATGTTATAGTATTCTTATGTTGTTCTAACTAGGCTTGATTGCTTCCTATGTACAGCAAGATTCAGTCTGTTTTTGAGCTATCTGATGGCTCTGGCTTGGCAGTAACAGTTGCTCGTTATGAGACTCCAGCTCATACAGATATAGACAAGGTCTATCATGGCACATATTCCATGTCTTCTTATAAAAGAAAATCCTATTGTCTGATAAACATAATACATTTATTATTTATTGTAGATTGGCATAATCCCGGATTATCGTCTTCCAGCATCATTTCCTAGAGATGATGAGAGTTTTTGCGGCTGCCTTCAGGACCCAGTCTCTGCTTGCTATCTTGACGAAGTTAAACTCTTCGCAAGATGACAGAATCCTTCCAAATGTGGTCACTTTGGATTCTTTTGCAACTGTAGATATGCCGGCAGAGCGAGCTGACAAATTACTGGTTTAACGTGCAATCTTACATTGTTTCTCCCCAATTGGGAAATACAGAAACTCCAGACTTCTCGCTTCGGGTGCGCTCTACGAGGAGTCGAAGACCCCCCCCCCTTTTTTTTTTGCTTTTTTCTTCCTGAGATTTGGCCCTTTGAAACTATAGAAAGAGGAATTGATTGAGCCATAAATTGTCCGCTGATGTACTCCAAATCTAGAACATTTGTCTCATGCTGTAATTCCCTAAGCACAATCCTTCATTTGGATGGGTGGAATTGTTGTAACCACACTGATACAAATATTAGTCCAAAACCCTGCAAGGGAGCCAGAAGCACCATAACTTTTGGTACTGTGGGATATTAAAGCAATAACTGATTCTTCTTTCTCCGATGATACAAAAGTTTCATTCAGATGTTAGAGCTGCAACTATTTTTATAATCCAATTGGGATTTTCGGGAGAAATTTTGTAATCATTGACATATTAAAATCAGCTTGATGGCCTTATTTCGTATCATAAACCTCTCAAGCATGGTTGTAACGTTAAACTGGCTGGAGGAATAAGATACCACCCTAAATTCTCCTACACCAGTGGTACGCGAACTATTGAATCTGGCGTATGAGAAGTTCCATGACAAAACAGAAAGTGAACAAAAAAAAAAACAGATTAGTGCAGTTGCATACTAATTTAAGATATATCCTGGATTATTAGTCTTGCATATCTGTTGTTTTGGATTGATTCAGAGGTGGAACTCGTCAGGGCTGCTACCCTGGGTTAGGGTTGGGTTGAGCTAGAGAAAAGGTGGAGTCACAAGTAAGGCACTTTATGTTTGAACAGCAACTCCACTTCCAATCTTTGGGGCATTCTGCATCAAATAAGAATCTTGAGAGTTTCAAGTCCAAAGGCTACTTGAGAGATGACATTTATCAGAAAATGCTGAGACTAGAAAAGCCCTATAATGCAATGTTGATTTGAGGTATAGACTTCGGTTCCAGCGTCCCCATAGCTGACATTCTTTCCCCAGTTGAGTGCCAGTAAAACGCACCAACTACTGCATCGACTGGCGTTGGTTCAATTCTGGTATAGTTTTTAATCAACGATACCAAAACATAGCCTTGAAGTCATCCTACAAACCCAAGGTTTCATTGTAGATTCATAACCGTACCTACATGTATGTATTGTAAAATTGCTTGTAACTTGTCTTTCCCAGCCTTTTAGGTTTCACTGACCAAAGTGAAATATGCGGGAAATGACACCAAATAGTGCTGCAGATTCAAGAAATTTTTTTTTCGCTATAACTACAGCATCTTAGCCAAAAATGGGAAAACCGCGATGAGCAATCTCAACAACAAAGGTGTATCACTTTTCTCAGTTCTCATACTCAACCTACCGTTCTCTGGAGGTGAATTCTTTGATTTGCCTACACTTTGACCTGAACTACTTGAAGATCCTATATCAAACTCACTCAAACCGTCTAACTCATCCCATCCGCCAAATGTTGGTGCATTCTTTTCAACTTGATCAGTTGAATCATCATGTCCAGGAACCCATGATTGATACCCCATCTTTGCTTTTTTCTTCCTGGATTTGTTGCTCTTTTTTCTTTACCCCGCTCGACAGTTCTTGAAGATCGGGGATATGATCTACTCTTAGTCTTGGTCTTGTGCTTTGGTCTCTTGTCTTTCCCACCCCGCATCTTTTGGATTGCAAATGAAAAAGTAGACTGCCCAAGAGGAAGCGCTAAAGCCATAAGAAATGCTTTCAGACCAGTTGCTAGCAGTATTGAAACAAGGATGAAGGGAAGTGCCCAACCAAACGATCTGAAGACCTGCCCTGGCCAACAAGAGATTTTTTAAAAACACAACTTAGACCAGTTTTATTCCAACTTGAAACCAAAAGCTGTGGAAATGTCTTTATTTGGATAATGCAAAGTGTAGCTTAATTTGAAGCATTAATTGGATAAAACCTCAAAAGAGTACATTTGAAGTGCTATATTGCTTAACAACTCATGGGTAGAATCGAACTTACTCTACTTAATTACATGTTACATGTGAGGAATGCAAAATTTCACCATTGATCACCTTCAATGTGTTGGATTTGATACTTGCAAGTCCTTGCATTCTATTAACATTCTATTTTTCCAGCATTCCAATTAGACACTGTTTGACCTATATTTAGTTTAAAATTTAGCATGCATCATAAACTCTCAAGACATTTAACAATTCAATGGTAAAATTTTAGAATAATATGCTTGTAGAGTTTACAAAATAGTAGTTACACTTGATGTAATTCAATTCCTTTTCTGAATATCATGGGTATATTCTAAAGTTTCACCAATTGTTCCCCATTGTAAAGTCGGTTTGACCTCTATGAAAAATTTTATGTTGCGTAGCCTTTTACCAAATAAAAATCGGATGATAAAGGCCGATAGTACTTTTCTAGCAAAGACCTTGAGGCTCCATCTGACAGCATTCTTTGCATACATAGCGAAGTGGAAGTGGTCTCTTCATCTAAGTCCAGAATTTAGTAATGACTGAATGTAGTCTAGTCACTATTAAAGGAAACATGAGTTGGAAAAAGTTAGATGTCTATTTGGTCTGCAGAAAATTGTCATGTAGCTATGTGAAGAATGCAGGGGAAGGTATAAAGTAATACATGTACTACAGTGCACAAAAGTACAATATGCAGCAGAACAGCCAAAATCAGCAATTTATTTGGAATTCTATGTTATTGCAGACTTCTCATTTGCAATGAATTAGAATTGGATTCCCAACAGATTTGGTTCTTTGTCACAGTAAATTTGTTTGGTAAAGGATGCAGGAAATTAGGAAACACTTTGATCAGGAGAAATCGAGTTAGTTTTAGTTTCTTCCCTTCCTCAATGTTTACCTTTTCTTTTGCAATTTCTTTTAGCACTTATTGTAGGATCAAGCATAGTTACATCATCAACTGCAATTAGCATCTGATTAGCTAAATTCTTAAGTACTCATTTTTCTGTACCACTACATCAAACTCAAGGAAGTTGAGCTTAAGTACTTACGTAGCAGATATTAAAGGAACCATTTACAAGAGAAACACTTCAAAAATAGTGCCAGTTAAAACTTTCATTCATCCAACAAAACCATTAGCATGAACAATTCCTCTGAGTCCATGCTTAAAAACATTATTAACTTAATATGGAACTGAAAACTTCCATTTCAACACAAGAATAATCATTCTCTTATAAGAAAAGCACAGAAAAACAAAGAAAGGAATACCTTAATAATCCAAATACTGTCAATATAATCTTCAAGAACCCCCAGCCCTTGTTCCACAATGTCATCATTTCCAGTGTCATCATCATCTTCTTCTTCATCAAAATTATGATTGAAGTTCCGGGTTCTGAAAGACTCTGCATTGGAGTCCCACCTGCGACACCTGCAAATTTGGAGCACTGGTTGGAGAAGAAGATTATGGTTGTACGGTATAGTAGTGGTTGCGGTGGACGTGAGCTGGAGGGGTGGCTGCCAACTCCCTGGTGGTTGTTGACGGTGGTAGTGGTGGTGGAGTATGAGAAGTGGAGGAGAGGGAGAATGACACGGTTGGAGGTGAAGACCACAAGTGTTAGTGGTCTTCATTAGTCGTTAGTCGTTACCATCCTCAAGCTTTGGGAAAAGGGATCGTTCTGATATTAGCTTTTGTCCCCAACACAACTTATATTTACGCATTTCTCTCCTGTCATCTTCTTTATATTTACCCTTGTGATTGCAACTTTAGATTTGGGATAAATAAACCAAACCTCATGGATTTGTGAGGAGGGGACTTTGTTATAGTTATACTAAACTCGAGGCTCCGCATGGATTAGACAGGTGTGTGTGAAAAATTTTTACTGTAATTTTGTTATTTGTATCTTAATAAGCTATATGAATACTCTTTTTTGTATTTTTTATTTTCCAAGCACACACATTTTGTTAATCTAAGTGTGCTTGTTCATATTTATTGTTACCATTTATAATTATGCACTTTCTTGATTTAATTTTTTTTAGAAACTAACATCTCATCATTGAGGTCAAAGATGAAGAGATAGTTACTTTAGAAATTTTGCAACTCATAACTAATTAATGTCAAAATTAACTGTCCAAATTGATTTGGTTAGCAATTTTACGTTCTCATAATCATGAGATCCCATTCTTATTCGATAGTATAGTAATTTTTTTTTGTAATCTTATACATTATTTCAAATGGTTAATGATAATTTCTGAAATCTTTCTTTCCAATCCTAAGAATTTCCTAACTTTCTCCTTATTAGCTCCTCTTCTTCTGCACATTCTAGTGTGCAACCAAATAAGACTTGAAGCATGGCTGTTAATAGTTATCAACTAAAAAATTTTGAGCTCATATTTTTGGTTGATAACACCAAATTAATTAATATTAGCTTGGCCTTATGTTACATAAACTTTTTTTACTAAACATAACACAATTTGCTATCGAATTATGTTGAATGTAGAGCATTTTATACTTTTAGTTTTTGTATGTTGATAGGAAAATAATAAAAACAATAAAGTAAAGCTTTAAAAAAATCACCAATTTGTCTCCTTTTAATTTAAATTAGGTTAAATCCCTTAGAATTGGAATTTGGCATAAAGTGATAACCATTTGAAATTGAGGAGGTGTGGAAGAGTAGTCCAACTTATCCAAGAGAATGAAAGGACAGAGAATTACTCATGTGGTGCTACTACAATTGTTAGAACTTGCGGTCTCCAAAGTAAATTACAAGCTTCCGTCAGGGACTGCACTCAAATTTTATGAAAATCTTCATCCCCTTCTTTTAAAGTCCAGAATCTTCTCTTCTCGTTCCCACAATAATAAATAATTCAGGAAAAAAAAATCAGAAAAAATCAGAGGGAAAGATTATGAAGCCAATGCCGATCGATTTCTTTGCGGACCTGGAGGAGCAAGGAACAACCGTCGCTATGGACGTGGACGATGCTGAAGCCCTAGAGATCTTCGGCGGCGGAGAAGGGCCTATCGCCGCCATGGAACACCACCGTCTCGCCGATGCTGATTTCTTCAATTCTTTCCAGGACGACTTCGACGACTCCGACATCAACTAAAATAATAATCAATTGCTAGTTATTACCAGTCCTTAATCGCCCATCCCAGGGTTTTGAATTTTCGGTTTCTAAACTCTAATTACGTATGTTATGTGATTAGTTATGAGGCTGTTGATGGAATGGTGGTTTTGTGGATGTTGGATTATGGAATTTTATAAAGATAATTGAATTATCCGCTGCTGAAGTTTTTCAATTTGTTTTTGTTCTCGTATTTTTTCTGGTTGTTTATTTGAATTCTGTGGGTATTAATTACTTCTTTTTGCTAATTTCTAGTTTAAGCTGTGGGATTGGCGTCTGCATTTTCTGGACAAATTTACTGCCTGTTAAGACTTCATTTGCAGGAATGTATGCTTTCTCCAAAGCAGTAGTTTTGTGGGTTTTTATTTCTAAGGAAGTTTCAGCAACTAGGTTTTAATGAATTGGCAGGAACGAATTCAACCATCAGCTCTTAAGTTTCCTTCCTCATTTTTTGAGAATGAGGCTTGATTGAGAGGTTTATTTTGAAGAATTTTACGTGTGGTACAGAATTTCATAGTTGGAACAGGAATGGAGCATGAATCTGTTTGAGAGGTTGCTTTCTTACTTCATCTTGTTTGATTAAGGACGATGTATTGATATTTTCGTCATTTTGTTAACCCATCAATGCATTAGTGTTAGATATAATCGTTGTTGAATCTTTTTTGATCAAGTAGAGGGGAATCTTAATCTAATTGGATTTCTGAGAAAATGCCTATTACTTTATGCACTGTTTGCTTGCAATTTATTTATTTATTTATTTTTGGGCTTAGTACCTTTATGATTTCTCATAGAAACCTTTCACCTGGAGTAGTTCTCTAATAGTGCTTATGCTTGTTTGCAATCCGGTGAGCCATAGTCCAGCATGATTTTCCTCGGCCTCCCCTGTAGCATGTTTTGGAGGGAGCAAATTGCACTTAAATGGATGAAACTACATACTCTTAAACTGGGGATTGGGGAGGCTGTGATGATTTTGGTTATTGTTGCTTTGGAAGCAAGCATCAAGCTATCAAAAGCTAGAATCCATAGTTCAAGATTTTTGCAGATGTTTCAGTGGATATGTTTTGAGTTCTTTAGTCTGCATAACAGAACATGGAAAACTATCAAGATAAGCTAAAAACTATGGAAAATGGTAACAGCCAAATAAATAGCTAAATTTAATCAGTATATCTGTTATTACATCCTAATGTACCTCAGGATATTGATGACAGTTATACCGATGTGGGAACGCTAATTCAGCTAAGCTAATTTGGTAGAGAACCCAAAAGGGTGACCTGTAAATCACTAGTGTGTACGATATAACCTGTAAATTAAAATTTTTTAGCAAAATACACTAATTACAGTTACAGAATATGCTAATTTTGAAATTTCGATTCTAAACCCTAATTGCCTATGTTATGTAATTAGTTATGAGAATTATTGATGAAATAGTGGTTTTGTGGATGTTGGATTATGGAATTTTATATACATAATTGAATTTCTGCTGCTGAAATTCATTGGAATTTTTTTCTTGTTCTATTCTCTGTCTGTGTTATCTGAGAAATGGGTGAATTAGTTACAAGTATTGATAGTTTTTAGTTTTATCTGGCAAATTGGCATCTGGGCTTCCATGATAAATTTACTGCGTGCTAGGCTTCTTAGGTACACTCATATACGCTCTCTTCAAAACAGTAGTGTGTGTAATTTTATCTCAAAGGAAGTTTCTGCAATTGTTATTACAATTTGGAAGGAATGAAGTAAACTATCAGCTCTTTAGTTTTGTTCCTCAATTTTGAGAATGTGTGTGGCTCAGTTTAGAGGTTTATTATCAAGGATTGTGTGTGTGGCATAAATTTTCATGGTTGGTGATTGAAGGGTGAAACTGTTGGAGAGATTGCATTCTTACTTAAATCTTTTTGATCATGGACAATCTCTTGATGATACTGTTGTGCATCTTGTGAATGCGTTAATGCATTGGTATTACAGAATATCATTGTTTCATCTTTTTTGATCGAGCAGAGGGGAACTCATAATGAGATGCATTGAATGAGTGTATGATCTGAATGGATTTCTGTGAAAATGCATATTTCTTTGTTGTGGTACTTTCTAACACTTCGTCCAAGTATTGATGTCCTGTTTGTTGATAAACCCCTTTTACCTGAAGTAGTTCTCTAATTGTGCTCATGATTGATTGCATTATGGTAAGAACAAGTCTAGCATGACTGGCCTTGGTCTTGGCCTCCTCTGTGGCATGTTATGGAGGGAGCAATTGACTTGTCATTATGACTACACACTATTAAGTGGTGACTGGGAGGCTGTGATGATGTTTTATCCTTGTTTCTGGAACAAGCATAAAGCAATCAGAAGCTAGAATCCAATCTTCCAAGATTTATGCAGATGTTTTTCAGTGTACGCGTTTGAGTTCTCTAGTCTGCTTGATGCCAAAGTGTCGAGACAAGCTAAAAACTTACGAAAATTAAAGCGGCCAAAGAAACATATAATCTATCTTGAGGCTTGAAGGGTATTGGTTCAAAGTATCTGCAAATTTACTAAAGTTGAACTTATAGTCTGACCGGTACGTCATGAGTTTCCTGAGAATCACTAACTCCAGTTACAATTATTGGGCATGATCCAAAAGGGTGTTGGGTAAAATCTTTGCACAAAATCACACTCATAAATTGGACTAATACTCTTATCTTCTAAGCTAAAGACGCCAATATCATGACCTCCATACAAGTAATCTTCAAACATCCGGTCCCAATAATCATCTGTGAAATAAATTGAGTTTCCCTTGAGCTCTTGGTAATCTCTAGCAGAAACTGAAATGAATGCTATGATTTCCGCCAAGAAAAATCACTTGATCCTTCAAAGATCGGACCTCTTCCACTTTCTTTTCAATCACATCTACCTTGTAAACTTGGAAGTAAAACGTCCTATATGGACAAGTCAAAGGATGGATATCTTCTTCACCTAGAAGATCTCCTTCACAAAGCAGCTCACCTTCATGATTCACGAACTCCCCAACGAACCTAACAATGAACAACATCTCCCCCAACAATGGCACTAAGTACCATTGAGTAGTACAACGATCAGAAGGAAAAGACAAGATTGGTGTATAGCTGCACTGTACACATACCTTTCTCGTAGGTGTACAAGAATCAGCAAAATCCCATCCCTCGATTGTAATCCCTCCTCTCAACGTATAGAGCATATTGCTAAACCATACAAGATCATGGTAATATTGAGTCTCACCAAAGGTTGTCCATGTTTTGTCTCCACAACAGTGAAAAGCAAGTTTCTTGTTCAAACCATAAATGATTATGACCTTGTAGTTGTCATTGTGAGATGGATCAACAGATAAAATTGCTTTATCAATCAGGGTTCGTCGTAACTGTTCTGAAGATGTATGGGAACTAGGCTTTACTTTTGCCTGCGGAAGTTGAATAATACTCCTTGAGAGTACATTCATCAGAGTAAACTCAGAATTCTTGCTTAATATCATCACCCATCCATGAGAGGAGCCGACAATCCGATTATCCTCGTATTCTGAAGCAATAACATCTTCAGATTCTTCAAAAACAAGGTTGAGATCATAGGCTGTCTTGTCTTTCAGACTGAATAAGCCAAGTCTGCAATTAGGCTGACTAGTTATTTTATCGAGAGGAACGATCAGAAGTGGACCTGATGATGAAGAAACGGGTTTCTTATTATTCGCCATATTGATTCTTGATTCTTAGAAAAAATAAGATATGAAGTGGAAGGATTCAAGTATTTGAAGCGGTGGTCTTCCCTGTCTTTGAAGTTGTGGTATTTATAAGTCTCCCTGTTCCCTATTGCGAATATCAATCCAAATTTGACTTGGACTTGGAGTCTAGCATCCTTTTTGGATCCAGCCAACTTAGGGAATCATAGAAAGAATAGGAAACAATAAATCAATAACAAAAGTGGAATTTAAATACCATCAGAATTTCCCGTTTAAATAACATCAGAATTTTCTCACCATCACGAAAAGCCAATCAGTAACTCATTGGCGCCAAGCAAACAGAATTTGGGAATTGAGCGTTCTTTCAGAGAAGGAATAGCAACGAAATCCAACATGGACAATTTACCTTTTGGAGTACGTTTCTGCCCCACAGATGAAGAGTTGATCACGCACTATCTAAAAAACAAGGTAACGGAACAGCCATTACCATCAGACAAATTCACGATAGAAAGAGATATCTATGGGGAGAACGAGACAGCAACGCCTTGGATTCTGTTTGGCGAGGATGCTCCATGGCAGACACCAGTGGTGGATGCTTTTGGTAAGGTGTTTGTTCATCAGAAGGTACTCTATGTTTTCACAAAGCTGTTGAATGTTGGAAAGTCCAGCGACAAGAATAAGAAGAGAATCGCGGGTTGTGGCAATTGGCATAACAATTCGGCACCAGAGCCTATCATGAAGAACTGGGGATGGGGTTATCAGCTGATTGGCAACAAAGGACGTTCACCTATCGATCCAAGGAGGAGACTGTCGGCCATTGGACGATGCACGAGTATGAGCTTGGTGGTGCAAGTTTGCAAGGGATAAATTTAGAAAACAATTATGTACTTTGTAAGATAAAGAGGGATGACTCGAAAAGCTCCAAGGGAGGAAGACTTCTATCTTGGAAGAATTCCAGGTTTGCCATGGTGCAATTTAATGAAGATGACGAGGTAATAGTCGAACCAGTGATGGGAAATTCAGTTCCTAAGGCAACATTAGGCAAGAGAAAATCAGTTTCTGGGGAAGGCAAACAACCTGAGGAGACTGAGAATTTCAGAAGAGGTTATATCCAGTATCGTGGAGATGGGATTGAATCTTCTGGCTTGAAATTAGTCCAGGAGGAGTCAAGTACAAGTGTTAACAACTACTCAAACCCGTTTGATCTGAAGAATGTAAAGCAAGGAAACTCAAACGGGGATTCTTCATCAACTATGGATGATTTGTTTCAATTTCAACCTGTAAATTTGTCGTGATAACTTGTTAGTTTTCATTGTCCATATAAAGCCACCATCATCAGCATGGTAGGTTTTTGGACTAAGCTATACAGCCGTATACACAGTGAGGTTGTCCAACCTTCGTAGAATAAATTCAGCAGAGATTTTTTTACCCTTATGTTTGTTTGTTCGGGATAGACGAGAGTATCATCGTATGAAGGGTTGACGTTCTTAAATTTTTTTTTATTTATTTTTGGTCAATGCAAATCTATAGAGATTATTTCATTGGCATTCTTTTTTTTTTTTTTCCTTTCCCGGAAAAGCATTGGCCTTGTCTTCAGACATTGCCTTTAACTTTTGTAACTCGTGATGTACGAAACTCTGAGATATTCAAGATTCAATTGAATTCTAATAATTTACCTAATTGTTATCCACCAAATTGTTATTATCAAGGGTGTTTAATTAATGCGGATCTTGGTCCAACTAATTTGGAAGGCTAGACCTTAAACAAGACAATAAGGCAAAAGATGAGATTGGCCCTAGTGGGATTTGGGATGCCCTCTGAACTCAATAAAATAAACTCTGATTTTGGTTTTCTTGTTTTTGTTTCAATTTTCTTTATCTATACTATATTTTATCTATATCTGTACTACATTAAAAGCATCAATATGATTTGGTGACTTAGTTTTCACTTTTCAATAATATCATTGCCTAAGATTAATTGTAATTGTTCTATGGTTGCAAATTATAATGCCATTCTAATATTTTTGAGGGTATTTGTTTATCTTAGAGTAAATTTGGAATTATAGTTAGATTCGAAATAAAATTACCTTTATGTCAATTTGTTAAGAAAAGGACATTGCTTTGGAAATACTACTGAATTTGGAATTGTAATCAAGTAAGGCCAATGCTACTTGGAATTGGAATTGGAATGTTATTCAGATTGAGACTAATTGAATAGTGGTTTCATTAGGTTATGTCTTTCACCAAAACGCCACTTTAAACCTCAATGTTATACTCATATTACAAACCCCAAGTAAGTGGAAATTGTCCCCATTCCATTTTTCTATTTTCTTCTTTTTCTCCCAAAGAAATTCGGAAAGGTTTGCATCATGGAAAAGTTAAAAATATTCTCTTTAGTTAAGGTCTATTAGGCACTAACGGATGATCCATTGTGATGTTTCCGAAATTGTTTTACTTCAAGCAAATGGTAAATGTGGTACCTAAAAAAAACAGTAAATGTGGTTTTCCATGTAATGTTGATATAAAGTTTTACAATGAAAAGAGTTTCTAATTTTTTTTAGGAATAAAATCTTGAATTGGAAGGAAATTGTTTTGGAATTGGAAAAGTTGAAAGATTCTCTTTAGCTGAGATCCATTAGGTGCCAATTTATGTTTTGTTGTGATCTTTCTTGCAATTATTTCACTTCAAGCAAACAAGTAAATGCGGTTTGTAGGTAGTACAGTATAGTGACATAAATTTTTCAGCACAAATTTAGCTTTTTTTTGTTTTTTGAGGAACAAAATCTTAAATTGGAAGGAAATTTTTGTATAGGGTGGTATGTCCATCGAAATTGAACATTGTCTTGTGATGGCCCAAAAAGTTAAATAGATATTAAAGGAATATTAAAGTTAAAAGTTTCATTCAGATGTTAGAGCAGCAACAATTTTTACAATCCAATTGGGATTTTCGGCAGAAATTTTTGTAATCATTGACATATTAAAATCAGCTTGATGGCCTTATTCTTTCGTATCATAAACCCCTCAAGCATGGTTGTAACGTTAAACTGGTTGGAGGAATAAGATACCTACCCTAAATTCTCCTACACCAGTGGCACGGGAGCTATTAAATCTGGCGTATGAGAAGTTCCATGACAAAACAGAAAGTGAACAAAAAAAACAGATTAGTGCAGTTGCATACTAATTTAAGATGTATCCTGGATTATTAGTCTTGCATTTCTGTTGTTTTGAAATGATTCAGAGGTGGAACTCGACAGGGCTGTTGCCCTGGGGTGGGGTTGGGTTGAACTAGAGAAAAGGTGGAGTCAAGTTGGAATCTTGAGAACCGGAACTCCACTTCCAATCTTTGGGGCATTCTGCATCATATAAGAATCTTGAGAGTTTCAAGTCCAAATGCTACTTGAGAGATGACATTTACCAGAAAATGCTGAGACTAGAAAAGCCCTATAATGCAATGTTGATTTGAGGTATAGACTTCGGTTCCAGCGTCCCCATAGCTGACATTCCTTCCCCAGTTGAGTGCCAGTAAAACGCACCAACTACTGCATCGACTGGCGTTGGTTCAATTCTGGTATGGTTTTTAATCAACGATACCAAAACATAGCCTTGAAGTCATCCTACAAACCCAGGGTTTCATTGTAGATTCATAAGTCAAAACCGTACCTACATGTATGTATTGTAAAATTGCTTGTAACTTGTCTTTCCCAGCCTTTTAGGTTTCACTGACCAAAGTGAAATATGCGGGAAATGACACCAAATAGTGCTGCAGATTCAAGATTTTTTTTTTCCCTATAACTACAGCATCTTAGCCAAAAATGGGAAAACCGCGATGAGCAATCTCAACAACAAAGGTGTATCACTTTTCTCAGTTCTCATACTCAACCTACCGTTCTCTGGAGGTGAATTCTTTGATTTGCCTACACTTTGACCTGAACTACTTGAAGATCCTATATCAAACTCACTCAAACCGTCTAGCTCATCCCATCCGCCAAATGTTGGTGCATTCTTTTCAACTTGATCAGTTGAATCATCACGTCCAGGAACCCATGATTGATACCCCATCTTTGCTTTTTTCTTCCTGGATTCGTTGCTCTTTTTTCTTTACCCCGCTTGACAGTTCTTGAAGAACGGGGATATGATCTACTCTTAGTCTTGGTCTTGCGCTTTGGTCTCTTGTCTTTCCCACCCCGCATCTTTTGGATTGCAAATGAAAAAGTAGACTGCCCAAGAGGAAGCGCTAAAGCCATAAGAAATGCTTTCGGACCAGTTGCTAGCAGTATTGAAACAAGGATGAAGGGAAGTGCACAACCAAACGATCTGAAGACCTGCACTGGCCAACAGGAGATTTTTTAAAAACACAACTTAGACCAGTTTTATTCCAACTTGAAACCAAAAGCTGTGGAAATGCCTTTATTTGGATAATGCAAAGTGTAGCTTCATTTGAAGCATTAATTGGATAAAACCCCAAAAGAGTACATTTGAAGTGCTATATTGCTTAACAACTCATGGGTAGAATCGAACTTACTCTACTTAATTACATGTTACATGTGAGGAATGCAAAATTTCACCATTGATCACCTTCAATGTGTTGGATTTGATGCCTGCAAGTCCTTGCATTCTATTAACATTCTATTTTTCTAGCATTCCATTTAGACACTGTTTGACCTATATTTAGTTTAAAATTTAGCACGCGTCATAAACTCTCAAGACATTTAACAATTCAATGTTAAAATTTCAGAATAATATGGTTGTAGAGTTTACAAAATTGTAGTTACACTTGATGTAGTTTAATTCCTTTCTAAAGTTTCACCAATTGTTCTCCATTGTAAAGTCGGTTTGACCTCTATGAAAAATTTTATGTTGTATAGCTTTTTACCAAATAAAAATGGGATGATAAAGGTCGATAGTTCTTTTCTAGCAAAGACCTTGAGGCTTGATCTGACAACATTCTTATGCATACATGGTCTCTACTCCAGTTGTTGTCTCTTCATCTAAGTCCAGAATTTAGTAATCACTGAATGTAATCTAGCCACTATTAAAGGAAACATGAGTTAGAAAAAGTTAGATGTCTATTTGGTCTGTAGCTATGTGAAGAATGCAGGGGAATGTATAAAGTAATACATATACTACAGTGCACAAAAGTACTATATGCAACAGAACAGCCAAAATCAGCAATTTATTTGGAATTCTATGCTATTGCAGACTTCTCATTTGCAATGAATTAGAATTGGATTCCCGACATATTTGGTTCTTTGTCACAGTAAATTTGTTTGGTAAAAGATGCAGGAAATTATGAAACACTTTGATCAGGAGAAATCGAGTTAGTTTTAGTTTCTTCCCTTCCCCAATCATTACCTTTTCTTTTGCAATTTCTTTTAGCACTTATTGTAGGATCAAGCATAATTACATCATCAACTGCAATTAACATCTGATTAGCTAAATTCTTAAGTACTCATTTTTCTGTACCACTACATCAAACTCAAGGAAATTCAGATTAAGTACCTGCTTAGCAGATATTAAAGGAACCATTTACAAGAGAAACACTTCAAAAACAGTGCCAGTTAAAACTTTCATACATCCAAGAAAACCATTAGCATAAACAATTCCTCTAAGTCCATGCTTAAAAACATAATTAACTTAATATGGAACTGAAAACTTCAATTTCAACACAAGAATAACCATTCTCTTATAAGAAAAGCACAGAAAAACAAAGAAAGGAATACCTTAATAATCCAGATACTGTCAATATAATCTTCAAGAACCCCTAGCCTTATTCCACAATGTCATCATTTCCAGTGTCATCATCATCATCATCATCATCATCATCATCATCATCATCTTCTTTTTCATCAAAACTATGATTGAAGTTCCGGGTTCTGTAAGACTCTGCATTGGAGTCCCACCTGCGACACCTACAAATTTGGAGCACTGGTTGGAGAAGAAGGTTATGGTTGTACAGTATAGTAGTTGTTGACCGATGCTTCGTCCCACATCATCAGAAGACAAAGAAAGCCTCCCCTTAGTTTCCTATAAATAGAAGAGGTTATTGAAGGTTTCAAGTGCACCAAACCAAGAGAGCATTAGTAGGCTATTTGGGTCTTTGGGTCATTAAATCTTTTGTAGTAGAAATACTTTGGACTCTCTTGTGTTTTAGTGTTAGGTGTCTTTTGGCCTAGGAACCACTTTCTCACGGCTTTTGTATATCTTCTTCATAATGAAAGATTTGCTCTCCTCCGCCTGTGGACATAGGTCAATTTGACCGAAACACGTAAATTTCTGTGTCTTTTATTTTACTTTGTTATTTGTCTTTATTGGGTTACCACAACCCTTTTATATGGTCGATTTTACCGCCTAAGTATTATATGACAGGTGTCTACCACCTAAGTTTTATATGGTCGGTTATACCACCTATTTTGTTCTAACTTTAGTTTGTTTATTCCTGAGTCAGTTCTAACAAACTGATATCAGAGTTGATTGATATATTTTGTAAGACAGGTTCATCTGGTGGGGCCCATTCATCCTGTGGGGCCTGTTCATCTGGTAGGACCCATTCAACCTGTGGGGCCCGCTTACCCTGTGGGACCTACTCATGAGACTTGCATATTTGTTTGACCAGTTTTTTGAGACAATAACGATAACAAAAACGGTTGTCGAGAAATTCAACAGGAATGTCAACTTCGGAATGTGGCAACTCAAAATGAAAGCCATTCTTGTTCAAGACGGAGTTGATTTGGCAATTCAAAGAATTGAGAAAAAGCCAGAAGATATAAAGGATGCGGATTTCGCCGATATGGATAAGAAGACCAGATCCAACATAATTTTAAATCTCTTCGATGAGGTATTGCATGAGGTAGCAATGAAGAATTCGGCCAAGGTTATGTGGGATAAATTGAAAGTCTTGTATATGAAGAAAACAGTCGAGAATTGCCTATATCTGAAGTAGAGTTTGTACATGTTTCGGATGTCTGAAAGTACATCTATACTCTCCCATCTTGATAAATTTGATTCCATTATAATGGATTTGGAGAATCTAGATTCAAAAATTAATGATGAAGATCAAGTCCTATTACCTTTGTGTTCCTTTCTCCAGTCCTTTAAGTATTTCCGTGATATTATGATTTTTGGAATGGAAACAATTCGTATCTGAAAATTAAATCTGCATTAAAATCTAAAGAGCAGATAGATATGGATATTACAAGGGAAACTAGTGGGAGTTAAGTCGATGGCTTGTTTGTTCGAGATAGATCTGAAATGAGAAATATAGAAAATAGAAGTAGATCTAAATCCAGACATAAAAATGTGGTGCGCAGCTATTGTAAAAAGAAGGGCCATGTTATCTCTGATTGCTTTAAATTGAAAATTAAAGAAAAGTAAAAGGAGAAAAAGAGTGAGACCACCGATGCTAATATTACAGTTGATGAGAATGGTGGAACCATTTTCTGTGCAACAGAAAATAATTTTAGGTCTAACAATGAGTGAATTTTAGATTCAGATTGTTCATATTATATGTGTCCCAATAGGGATTGATTTTTAACATATGAATCAACTGAAGGTGGAGTTGTCCTAATGGGTAGCAACGCTGTTTGTAAAGTTGTTGGCAAAGGCACAATCCTGATTAAAGTGTATGATGATATTGTGAGGATGCTCACAAATATTAGACATATTCCAGATTTGAAGAAAAAACCTCATCTCTTTGGGCACTCTTAAGTCTATTAGGTGCAGGCATTTATTTGAAGGTGGAGTTCTCAAAATCAGTCGAGATGCTTTTGTTGTTATGAAGACACACAGATCTGGTATTTTATATATTTTGCAGGGATCTACTGTTATAGGTGCTGCTGCTGTTTCTACATCAACTTTGTCCGATTCCAATTTCACCAAATTATGGCACATGAGATTGGGGCATATGAGCGAGAAAGGCTTATCTATTTTATGCAAACGAGGTCTTCTTGATAGTCAAAGTATTGGAAAGATGGGATTCTGTGAATATTGCATTTTTGGAAAGCAGAAGAGAGTTAGCTTCCAGTTGCCGGCAGTTCACAGGACAAAGAACTTTAGACTACATTCATTCAGATCTCTGGGGGCCTTCTCGTGCTCCTTCTAAAGGAGGTGTCAGGTACATGTTGACTTTCATTGATGATTATTCAAGGAAAATTTGGGTATATTTTCTTAAGTATAAAAATGATGTTTTCCTAACTTTCAAGTACTGAAAAGTTTTGATTAAGAAGCAAATAGGAAAATATATTAAGCGGTTGAGAACAGATAATGGCATAAAATTTTGTGGAGGTGAATTTGATAGATTCTATAAAAATGAAGAAATTGTTTGCCATTGCACTGTCAGAATGACGCCTCAACAAAATGGTGTGACCGAACATATGAACAGAACGCTTTTGGAGAGAGCGAGATGTATGATCTCTAATGCAGGGTTGACAAACGACTTTTGGACAGAGGCGATCAATATGGCCTGTTATATTATCAACTGTTCTCCTTCTGCATCTCTTAATTTCAAAACTCCTGAGGAAGTTTGATCAGGTACTCCTACTGATTACTTCAATTTGAAAGTTTTTGGATGTCCAGCATACATGCATGTGAATGATGAAAAATTGGAGTTTAGAGTTAAAAAGTTTATTTTTCTTGGGTATGCTTTTGGGGTGAAATGATACAGATTATGGTGTTCTGATCCCAAATCTCCAAAATTTGTGATCAGTAGAGATGTTACTTTTGATGAATTGTCTATGTTATCTTCCAAGAAGGAGTCTTCTAGTTCTTGTGATACCGATGATAGTACATAGAAGCAGGTGGAATTTGAAATCGGTAGTTGTGATCCTTCTAACTCTTCTATTCAGCAAGTGCCAGTAGATGCATCTGAATCTACTATTGAAGATAGTTCAAAAGAAGAGTAGTATTTCATAGCCAGAGATAGACTAAGGAGAGATATTCGACCACCACAAAGATATGCAAATTTAGCTGCATATGCTTTGTCTATTTCTGAAGAAACTGACACAGTTGGTGACCTTTCTAGTTATTCAGAAGTAGTTTCTTGTAATGATTCTGCAAAGTGATTGATTGCGATGAATGAAGAAATTGAATCTTTTCATCAGAATGAAACTTGGGTTCTTGTAAAGCCGCCGTCAGATAAGAAAATTGTTGGATACAAATGAGTCTTCAAGAAGAAAGAAGGTATTCCAGAGGTTGAAAATGCAAGGAATAAAACACGATTGGTTGCAAAGGACTATAGTCAGGTACAAAGTGTTGATTTTAATGATGTGTTTTCACTCGTTGTTAAACATAGCTCTATTCATGTTTTACTTGTTTTAGTTGCCATGTATAATTTGGAGTTAGATTACATGGCGAACTTGAAGAACAAATTTATATGAAACAACTCCAGGATTTTGAGATTGAAGGTAAGGAAGACCATATTTGTTTGTTGAAAAAATCCTTATATGGATTGAAGCAGTTTCCAAGACAATGATATAAAAGGTTTGATTCCTTTATGTTGAGTCATGGTTATTTGAGAAGTATGTATGATAGTTGTGTTTAATTCTGAAAGTTAGATGATGATTCTTTTATCTATTTATTGCTGTATATTGATGACATACTCATTGCTGCCAAGAATTTGTCGATAATTCACAAATTGAAATTACAGCTAAGAAGTGAATTTGGTATGAAAGATTTGGGAGCAGCTAAGAAAATTCTTGGCATGGATATTAAGCGAGATCGAGGAGCAGCGAAGTTGTATTTGATCCAAGAAAATTACCTGAAAAAAGTCTTGGAGCGTTTTGACATGAAAGATGCAAAACCTGTAAGTACTCCTCTTGCTAACCATTTTCGGTTATCTGCTACTCAGTCACCACAGTTAGATGAATAGGAAGATTATATGGCACGGGTTCCTTATTCCATTGCAGTTGGCAGTATTATGTATGTAATGGTTTGTAGTCATCCAGATATTTCACAAGTAGTCAGTATTGTTAGTAGTTATATGTTTTGTCCAGGTAAAGAACATTGGCAGATTGTGAAGTGGATTCTCTGATACTTCCAAGGGATTTCAAATGCTTGTTTGGAGTTTGGCAAAAATAAAACCACTCTGGTTGGTTTTGTAGATTCAGATTACGCCGGGGATCTTGACAGAAGAAAATGACTTTCAGGCTACGTATTCTGCATTTGTGGTTGTGCAGTCAGTTGAAAAGCTACTTTACAACCCGTTGTGCCTCTATCTACTACTGAGGCAGAATACATGACAGTGACCGAGGCAATCAAAGAAGCCTTATGGTTGAAGGAATTATTTGGCGAGTTTAATCTACATCAGGGTGTTACGGTTATTCACTGTGATAATCAAAATGCTATACACTTGACTAAAGGCCAGATGTATCATGAGAGAACAAAGCATATTGGTATAAAATATTACTTTATCCGGGATATCATTGCTACAGGGAAAGTCCTTGTTCGAAAGATCAATACCAAGGAGAATCCTGCTGACATGTTTACAAAACCTCTTCAAGTTTACGAGTTCAAGCAGTGCTTGGACTTGGTTGGTGTTCATTGTTTGTGATATGGCCCGTTGGGGCTTATATGGAGAAGGTGGAACAAGTTTATAATCTCTCGATGTTGGGGACTCATCAAGGTGGAGATTTATTGACCAATGTTTCGTCCCACATCGACAGAAGACAAAGAAAGCCTCCCTTTAGTTTCCTATAAATAGAAGATGTTATTGAAGGTTTCAAGTGCACCAAACTAAGAGAGTATTAGTAGGCTATTTGGGTCTTTGGGTCATTAAACCTTTTGTAGTAGAAATATTTGGGTTCTCTTGTGTTTTAGTATTAGGTGTCTTTTGGTTTAGGAACCACTTTCCTACGATTTTTGTATATGTTCTTCGCTCCTCCTCCGCCCATGGACGTAGGTCAATTTAATCGAACCACGTAAATTTCTGTGTCTTTTATTTTGCTTTGTTATTTGTCTTTATTGGATTGCCACAACCCTTTTATATGGTCGATTTTACCGGCTAAGTATTATATGGCTGGTGTCTACCGCCTAATTCTTATATGGTCGGTTATACCGCCTATTTTGTTCTAACTTTAGTTTGTTTATTCTTGGGCTAACCCTAACAGTAGTGGTTGCGGTGGACATGAGCTGAAGGGGTGGCTGCCAACTTCCTGGTGGTTGTTGACGGTGGTAGTGGTGGTGGTGCAGTATGAGAAGTGGAGGAGAGGGAGAATGACACGGTTGGAGGAGAAGACCACAAGTGTTAGTGGTCTTCATTAGTCGTTAGTCGTTACCATCCTCAAGCTTTAGGAAAAGGGATCGTTATGAATATTAGCTTTTGTCCCCAACACAACTTGTATTTACGCATTTCTTTCCTGTCATCTTCTTTATATTTACCCTTGCAATTGTACTTTATAAATAAACCGAACCTCTTGGACTTGTAAGGAGTGGACTTTGTTACAGTTATGCTAAACTCCAGGCTCCACATAGATTAGACGGGTGTATGTGAAAAATTTTCACTGTAATTTTATCATTTGTGTCTTATTAAGTGATATGAATATTTTCTATTGTATTTTTTATTTTTCAAGCGCACAATTTTTTTTAGTCTAAGTGTG